TTATACTATAGCACATTTCTAATAGGTTTAACGAATTACATGTCATTTATTTGAATTCAAATTTATTTTAATGACTTAGTATTTACGAAAAAGATGCATTTTTTTAAAAAAAAGAAGTTGTTATATGGATTTGAATGATTGTTTTGAATTCTTAGAATTTTGTGCATTTGCAATGTATCTAAGTTAGTAGCGAGCGAAGCCAGCTTAAGATTTCGTAGCAACTTTCGGGGATTGGCGAGCGTTTAAACATACATGTAATGGATTTTTGTTCAGGAGATTTTTTTATATACTTCCTATTTGTATTTATTTTTAACGTATTGCATTACAATGTTAACCCATTGATACACGAAGGTAAACAAGTGCAAACCGGTTTCAGTCCCCTAAAAACAATAAAGCTGTATAGTATCACCTGATAATTAAGATATTACATAGAATCTTATAGTGTGTCTAATAATTTGGCCATAGGACTGTATATCAACGTTCTGAGTTACATGTAAAATCCATTGAAAAATGAGATATAAACGAATATTTAATGAGAAAAATATACAGCTTTTGCTTGTAATACACATCTGTTTAAAAGCATGTAGTTAAACTAATTGAAAATAATGTAAATTTATGTTTATTCACAAAAACTCAATTTCAAAAAGTCCAATAAAGAAATGGAATTTAGTAATAACATTTAAATATTTGGAACCTTTCCGATTCGCATAAAATTTATGGCTTTCTCAATTTTTATGATTCCTTTCGGAGAATTTCTCCTTCTTTAACTCAATGAAAACATTAAATTTTCAAAACAGCCGGAAGAAAAAATACATTAACTTATTCCTTTAATAATTTCAACACAAAGTCAAAATAAAAAATCATATCTAAATAAAATATACTTTATTTTTTTTTAAAATAACAAGATCTAATGCCTTTCTTAAAGCTAAGCATTGGCTCGTTTTATTTTATTCGTAATAAAACTAATGCTCTTCGATTGGAAGGGGGTTTTTCGATCTTTTTTATAAGTACTTTAATAAATTATTTTGTTCCTATTTTTGAAAATGAGGGAAGCATTGGAATTCGACATACCTAAGAGAATAAAACGATTTTTTAAGCTAAAAAACATTCAACTAAGAGAAGTAACTTGGTTAAATACTAATGTAAGTGCCATTAAAGGATTAAAAATGAGAGAACAAAAAGAATGTTTAGCAGATAAATTGGAAAAAAAAGTGTTATATACTTTTATATGACTAAGCGGATTTTTACTTTTATCTTGATTGCGTCTGTTTGTCAGATTCAGATTTTTCAAAATTAAATAAATGTAGTTTGAAAAGTTTTTTTTTCTCACTGCTTTAACGAAAGTAGGAATATTCTTATTGGCTAAAGGATTTTAATCGGAAATTAGAATTCTTTAAAACCATTATTTAACATTCCAATGAATAGCAATTAAGTTTTTCTTATTTTTCAAAGTGATGAATAAAAACAATATAGCTACTTCTAGTTCTGTTGTGCGACAATTTACAGGAAATATTTTTGTGACAATTACCGAATCATGTAAAGCAAGTCTCCGGTATTAAAAACACACGGAATTTTTTTTAAGTTGAAAGAAAAACAAAAAATTAAAATGTTAATAAATACTTTGTTATAAATTTCATAATTTACTTCAAAATTGATAATTTACATACACGGGTTAAAAAACAAAATTTTTATAAAAAATGAAAATTTGAAATTACAATTTTCCTCTCTGTCTCTTTTAAAACAATCTTGCTTTTGATTTATTATTGTTTAATCAGAACTGAAAACTATGTAAATTTTTTTAACGCAATACACAAAAGAAACTGAGTTTGTTAATAGACATTGCGTACTCCTAGATATTTTCCAAAATGTTTATGCATTTTAAGACGGGAGCGTGTAACGTAAATAAAGCTTTTTTTCTGTTCCTTTTTAAGAAAATCCATTAATCAGGAATCTTTCCCTTAGTATCACATTTAAATCATCCCCATTTTCTTCAAGGTCCTTGTCTATAAAAAGCAACGCTCGCCCCAAAGTAATTAGTTGCTAAAAAGGGACGCTGCTTTTTATAGCTTCCCTTTTTCATTTCTCCGTTTAATTCCCTCTGAAAACTAATAATGTCCATGAATACGGCTTAACTATTAATGCTGTCGCCCTGTCAAGTTTAATAAGACCTCATAAAGAGTTCTATTTTGGTGAAAATAGGAACGAAATAGTTAATTTACGGGTATAATTAATAAGCCTTACAATGTATCTTTTATGATTTACTTTATATATATATATTTATATATTTATATACATATNGTAGGGATATATATATATATAAAGTTCAATTAATCAAGATCAGTCGACATCAGTCGTTGAACAGTTGACCCAATTTTTGGGTTCACGACTACTAATGTTCAACTCCTTAGCCTTGTAATTTTGAACCCAATCCAGAAGACAAGGGAACTCCTGGATCGAGTAATGGGAGAGAGAAAGTGGCCTTTGTGGAGGACTTTTTGATGGAACTAATCCGCATTTGCATTACGTGGAGAGGAAAACCACGAAAACCTCCCTCGCTTAGTCTGACGGTATGTGGACTGTAACCCATGATCTGTCCATCACTAAGGATATTTTACGCCAGCACTGTTGTCGGCACAAGCCGGCTACCAAATTCGTATCGACCAGCCATTACTGGGATTCGAACCCGGTTCACCTCATTGGAAGGCGAACGCTCTATCCTCTGAGCAATCACGGCTCTCAATACACTGTATTATATTTTAGTGCTTTTTTAACACCAAAAAATATAGTAACTACTTTACACCAAAGAACCAATGGAAATTCTTGGTGTAGTCAAACGTCAAGAACGTTCTTATACACTAATCGTTGCAAGCTGTCAGTTTGGTATTTCTTGCAACCAAAATTTATAATAATAATAAGACTAATTATTATAATATAACAATAATAATGACTCACAGAAGAGTCAGTAAAGTAATTATTTTAATTAAGTAATTTAAAGTAAGCAAACTTAGTTAAATTTGTAAGTCAAACATACGCGTAGTTCTGAGAGGTTATTAAAATAAATTCGAATTAGGCTTAGCAGAATAAAAGATGATAGAAATTTAAAATCATAAAATTTAATATTATGAAATTATTTGATGAAACAGAGATTTAAAAATTAAATTTCAATTATCCGTATTGCACAACTAAAAACATACATAAATTTTAACACCAATACGGTTAATCTTTGTTGCTGTTGATATACAGTGAGCAAAAAATACTGACCACCCTAAATAACTTCTGATCTAAATTTTCACGTTCTATGGTTCAATCTTACGGACTTGATGGGGTGATCTCAAATATGCTAATTAATAAGTACAAATGATATTTTCAGTTACGAAATCAGACACAAAAACGTACTTTCTCTGAATAAACATATTTTTTTATTCTGACGAACTCAGATTTCTGACCCCCAAAATATAGGTGGTAGATGCATTCTGGGAAATAGGGTCTCAATAATTTAGTCAGGAGAGCGCTTCAAAGTTTGGACCCCTTAATGTTAATAATTTTACTTTTTGCTTATTTCACTACAACTCGAGAACATTTTAAGCGAATTGAAAATTTTTTGCTCACAATTATAAAATTCGTTTAACCTAGGATAATTCCATACAAACATTCCATACCTTATTAAATAGCATATTTGAGGTCACCAATTCGAGCCATTAAGTTGGAGTCCTAGATCGCGAAAATCCGATCATTAGATTAAAAGTTATTCAGGGTGTTCTATTTTTTGGTGCAGTGTATAGCATTATGCATAACAACAAACTCCTGCCACTTCGTACTCGATAGTTTACAATTTACTCACGATATCCAAAGTATTGGTTTGGAATTTGTTTTTTTCGTGAACGGAAATAATGGTGCGAATGCGTATGAGTTATGGTATAAGAATTATTCCATTTGTGTTTAAATGTACACTTTTTACGAACGTAAACAAATTTGTAAGAACGCTTTATATGCTGTCAATTTGAAATAAAATGTTCTTTCGCAGAAGTTTTTGAGTTGTTCAATGCCGAAATCGGAGGGCTGTTGCAACAATAGTTTTTAAAGCGCATAATTGCCATTCTCAAATATTCTTTATAGAAACTTCGTTAGAAAACTATTAAATGCGAACTTACCATCAATTTTATTGCATCATTAACAACCGGCTATAAATTTTTCACAATGTTGACTATGAATCTGTAAAAGAAATAAAAGAATCATTATTATTTTATTCTTAAAAACAAACATTTTTTTATTGGCATATAAAATGAAATATTTGGAGTGCAAGAAATACTATTTCCGAAATTTAAATTTCGCATTTTCGAAGCATCGAAAAAGTCTTTGAGCTCCTGATAATTTGATTTTGTAGAGAGTAATAAAATTTTGTTAAACTAGGGAGCTACCGCACCAAGTATTAAACTATTATTGAAATTCCTTTCGGGCCGCTTTGTGACCCTCGCTCATTGACCAGTTATTAAAATGAAATTGTCTAGAATCCTTAAGCAATGAATGTGTGGATGCTGACAGTCACATAGTAGCTTTGGTTAATGTCCGAAATACATACTAGGTCTAGTTAAGTCCCACTGACCGGTAAACATTTGCCCAGTCTGCCCCTGCACTGGTGCTTTTTAGGGTCAAGTGCCACTGCCCGGTATGTATTTAAGCGGTACTCCAAACACCGATATTTCTCCTAATCTATTCTCAGCCGATATTAAAATATCGAATAAATATAATAACATCAACGATTACATTAATATCAAATCGGATGTAACAAATATTTCGGACATTCACCAAAGCGACTACGTAATTGTTGACATTCACGAATGAAAGTCGACATTCTCTTGATTTCGTCATTTAGGGTAACATGAAAAAAATTGTGTATTTCAACGCCAAAATTAGTGGAAATTATTTTACACTAAAGTGGCGTAGTGTAATTCCACATATGACTCTCGGTTCATGGTTTAATGAGAGTCAAAGAATGCTTTACCCATTGGCAAAATGGGTCTTGCTTTGGATTTGATGGCGTCCACACACTTTTCAACTGTGTTCAAGAGTATAATAGTAAACAGTGCGCATGCGTCGTCATTGTTTGCGCTGCTATGGCGTGCGCTGCTGTTTTTCTTTTCGTTTTCACTATCAGGCATTTTTAATGTATTTACGTAACAATAATTTAAAGTATTTTTATATCCTTTTTAATTTTATCGTATAATGACTGGCTTGACGGTGATTTCAATATATATATGAATCCTGAAAAAAGGAAAAGTATTTTGTGACGTCTTGAAACACGTACATAGGGAAGGATATGAAAACCAATCCGACGACAAACATCTATTGAGACAGTTCTTGCAACCCATGATTTGAAATATTTAATGGAGTCAATCCAGAAAGAAAAAGCATTAGACCAATGCGTAACCAGTGATCGTATAAGGATCACAACTTTTTTTAAAAATTTTCTTGGTGTCAGAATTTTCTTTTCTAGTGTTTAGTTGCTTAAAAATTTATAATTTAAGTATGATATTATTCAAAAAGACTCAGTAAAGTTATATTTACAATTAAGTAAGTTATGAATTTAGAATGCACATGCACATTCATTTTTAAAATGTAATTAGTTTGCTCACATCACAGAAACAAAAACATATGCTACCATTCATGACCGAAATCAAGAGAATGTCGACTTTCACTGGTGAATGTCAACAATCGTATAGTTTTGATGAATGTCCGAAATATTTGTTATATCCGATTTGATATTAATTTATTCGTTGATANAAAATATCGAATAAATATAATAACATCAACGATTACATTAATATCAAATCGGATGTAACAAATATTTCGGACATTCACCAAAGCGACTACGTAATTGTTGACATTCACGAATGAAAGTCGACATTCTCTTGATTTCGTCATTTAGGGTAACATGAAAAAAATTGTGTATTTCAACGCCAAAATTAGTGGAAATTATTTTACACTAAAGTGGCGTAGTGTAATTCCACATATGACTCTCGGTTCATGGTTTAATGAGAGTCAAAGAATGCTTTACCCATTGGCAAAATGGGTCTTGCTTTGGATTTGATGGCGTCCACACACTTTTCAACTATGTTCAAGAGTCATAGTGAACAGTGCGCATGCGTCGTCATTGTTTGCGTTGCTATGGTGACTGCTGCTGTTTTTCTTTTCATTTTCACTAGCAGGCATTTTTAATGTATTTACGTAACAATAATTTAAAGTATTTTTATATTCTTTTTATTATTAACGTATAATGACTGTCTTGACGGTGATTTCAATATAAATATGAATGATGAAGTAGGAAAAGTATTTTGTGACATCTTGAAACACGTACATAGTGAAGGATATGAAAACCAATCCGACGACAAACATCAATGGAGACAGTTTATGCAACCCATGATTTGAAATGTTGTGGCATTTAATGAATCAATCCAGAATTTAATGAGTCAATCCAGAAAGAAAAAGCATTTGACCAACGGGTAACCAGTGATCGTAAAAAGGTGATCACAACTTTTTTTTAAAATTTTCTTGGTGTTAAGCAAATGTCAGAATTTTCTTTCCTAGTGTTTACTTGCTTAGAAATTTATAATTTAATTAAGATATTATGCAAAAAGACTCAGTAAAGTTATATTTACGATAAAGTAAGTGATGAATTTAGAATGCACATGCACATTAATTTTTAAAATGTAATTAGTTTGCTCACACCACTCAGACATAAACATATGTTACAATTAATGACCGAAATCAAGAGAATGTCGACTTTCACCTGTGAATGTCAACAATCACATAGTCGCTTTGGTGAATGTCCGAAATATGTGTTACATACGATTTGATACTAATTTATTCGTTGATATTATTATATTTATTCGATATTTTAATATCTGGTGAGGATAGATTGAGGAGAAACATTAGTGTTCGGAGTACCAGTTAAATGCATACTGGGCTCTTGACCTTAAACAAAAACATTGATGTATGGCATAACGAGCAGTTTCATTGAAAATTCATCGATGTAGGGTATACCGGGCAAATGTATACCAGGCAGTAGCACTCAACTAGACCTAGTATATATTTCGGAAATTTACTAAAGCGACTATGTGATTATCAGCTTTCACCGGTGGAAGTCAACAACCACCTATTTCCGTCATTCACCGTAGCACATACACACATCACAGACAAAATATTACGATGAATTCGAATTAAGCCTAACACCGTAACGGTTTGGAAGTAATTATAATAAATATATTTAATAGAGTTGATAGATTTATTTAAATATTTTTTCTAGAGCATAATGCATTTTTAATAAACAGTGAAAAAAATTACATGTCTTCTATAGCAGCTAATGCTTCTATAATGCTCAGCAGCGTGTGAACAACAAGAAACTTTCACGTGTGGTTCATTACAAAAAATCTACTGTTGTCATCTGGTTAAAATAATTCAAAATGGAATAAATGCATCTGATTTTATAATAAGCTTCCCCATTTATTGGTGTTTTAACTAGCAACACCCTTAAAAGAGTGTATGAACGCTAGTTTGGGTATTAGTTGAAATAAAATATTCATTCACAAAATTTTTGAATTGTTTTAATACCAAATACGGATAAATTAAAAAAAAAAGAACTAACAAACGCTTAGTTATTACTTACTTACTCTTAAACTTTATTGCTTTAAAACTCAAGAAGTTCTAAAAATTATCAAACGCTGTTTCTTCGAATCTAATAAAGTAACCCTTTTATTCTTCAAATTTTTACACAGATATTGCGCTATGAAATAATACTATGTCGTCAAAAAAGTTTTAAGTATACAAAATGTTAAAAAGAACACAAATCAAAAAATAAACCTAATATCCAAGATGAAAGGGGTCTCTTAAACCCTAGTTATTTTTTTACGGCAAGTGTTAGTTAGTACCAGAGCTGGGCGTCGATTGCAGTAATTGATTTCAACTGTAATTGATTACAGATAATTACCGTAATTACCGATAATAACTGTAATACATACTGATAATTAATTGCAATCATAATTGCCCGCCATCGTTTTTGTTATGATTACTTGTAATGTAATCGCAATTACTTGGAATCATGATTACTGTTGTAATCAAACTTTTGCTGAATTGTAATCAAGATTACAAGTAATTGATTGCTGTAATCAATTATTGTAAGCACGATTATAGCTGTAATTAAAATTTTTAAAAGTTGTAATCATGATTACAAGTAATTGATTCCTGTAATCGACTATTGTAGTCACGATTACAGCTGTAATCAAATTTTATAATCACGATTACAAGTAAATGATTACTGTAATTGTTTGTTGTAATCACGATTAGAGGAGTAATAAAAATTATGTTATCTTTGATTACAAGTAATTGATTACTGTAATCAAAAAATGCAATCGATTACATTTTTGCCCAACATAGAGATTAAAATTATAACTTCGATTTTATAGTACTTAAACTATGACTTTTTAATTTTCCTTCTCTAAAGATTAAAAAAAACACCCTTATGATCGGGTATATTAATTATTATGAAGAATAGCGTGACCACTTTCTCTTATGCGATCTAATGTAAAATTAATTAAATGTATGTAAAAGCGACGTAAACACGAAACTTTACTCCTAATGAAGATTCGGGTTAAATATTACTCTAAAACTCTCCATTTTCATGATGAATTCAAATGATTAAATAGGCTGCCCGAACTTCGAATAGCAAAATACGTTAATTTCAGTTAATTTATAATCCTTTACTCATTCAATGCATTTCAAATGTTCCGTTGTTTATTCAGAAACGCGAATTCTGTGTTAAATTTGAGAAATGAAGAGTGGGATTATGAATAACTCTAAAAATCTAAATGTTCTAGAAATTTGGTAAAGGTATGGTGTGTTGAAAATTGAAATCCCTGAACGACTACAGTATCTTTTTGTATTAAAAAATTCTAAATTGCACCACAATTGAGATGAGTGTTCAACTTCCACGTCAAGTTACAAAATACTTCTGCGCAAAAACAATACAGTTACTGGTCATATTATTCGACGCACTATGAGATTCTGTGCAAAATTATAATTTTCAGGTGATACTATACAGCTTTATTGTTTTTATGTGACTGAAACCGGTTTGCAATTGTTTGCGTTAGCTGTATCAATGGGTTAACATTGTAATGGAATACGTTAAAAATAAATACAGATAGGAAGTATATAAGTAT